AACCTGGCTCTTACATTTTCACGATTCCGGGAAGAACTTCTATCATCACCATGTGGGATATATAATAACAAAAATGATAAAAAGAAAATGAATCTAAATGAAATCGACTAGATTTTTAAAAAAATAAATTAAATTAGCAGCATCCCTGCTTCGTGCGCATGTGTAGTCGCACAAACATAACAAATTTAGTCCGATGGTGTCCTAAAGAACGCAACGCGCCACAAGAAAACTTTTTTTGCTTTGTCATACATTTTTCCCCAGTATTGTTCTTGATACAAAGGGTGTTTCATTAAAACGGATCAAAGTCAGCAGTAAATAAATCAGTGTTATTGGTGAAAATTTATTTATTTTTACTATTGGATCATGTTATTTAAGTCATGGCAATTATGTGTGAAAAGTAATATCGTCCAAATGTCCGCCAAGGCTTCAGCGGCACACCTCCACTCGATGATCGAAATTTTTAACGACGTCTCTGCATAGTTGCTCTTTGATCTCACCAATATGCTTTATTATCTCATCCTTCAGCTGTTGAATTGTTCTTGGCTTGTTGGCATAGACCTTATTTTTGAGATGACCCCAAAAGAAGAAATCTAAAGGCGTCTAGTCGCACGATCGTGGTGGCCAATTGACTTCACTGTTTCGAGAGAGGATGTGACCTGGGAACTTCTCATTGCATTTCTGTTTGAACGTCCATTTTCGTAATAGGCTTCGATAACTTTAACACATTGTTTGATTGTTAATCTTTCCATGGTTGAAATTGCCAAAGACTTAAGTTGTTAAATCTGAAAGAAAAAGAAAAAATCACTAGACGATTAAACTTAATTTACTTTTAAAATCGGATCAAGTTATTTGAACACTATATATATATATATATATATATATATATATATATATATATATAATATCGCACATTCATTGTTGGTATTAATAAAATTGTTCTCGATATAAAATAACAGAGTTATATTTATATAGCAATAATAAATATATATTTTTCCTCATCGGTAGCACGACTCTGAGTTTCATGCACAACGCAATCATCAGGTGCTGACTGAAAACTGACCGGTGCATAATTTAAATATACAGGATGATTAAAAAGTTTTATGTATGCTGGACTCTTCCATTTTGTAATAATGATAGACGGGAGAGTCCATCATACATAAAATAGGGAGTTACTTTTCAATCACCCTATATATATATATATATGTGTGTGTGTGTGTGTGTGTGTGTGTATGTGTGTGTGTGCGCGCGCGCGTGCGTGTGTGTGTGGTATAGAAATCAAGAATTCATCCAAACCTGTATTAGATTTAAACAATAAGGTCTGTTGAAATTTTTACTGTTTTTTTTGGGGGGGTTGCTTTTTTTCCTAATTTACGAATAGGAAAACCACTTTGGAATAATTCGAGTCCCAGGGAACTCTAATAAATGCTAGGATGTATCCAACAAAATCTTGTCACCTACACTGACAACACCCAGTTCTTAAAAATGACTGAGACGGCAAAATATTTTAACAAAATTTTCAATAATTTTGATCTGTATGTACAACATCTTATTCGAATAGCTGAAAAATGAAATAAAATATTGAAGAGACCCCGTCATTTAAACATAACGGAACACATTTTCATTTCGACCTTATTTCTATTACTATAAACGTTATTTTTACTGGGTAGGCGTGTTTAATTTGATAGGATTGTTTTGGTTTCTTCATCTTTAATTTTTTTTAAACTTTGTAATTAATTATTTACACTATTTATATTCGGACTATTGTTCTCATCTTTGTTGTTTTTATCACAACGTTTCAGCCGTTGTGGCCACCGGCCTTCCTCAAGTGTATATTGGACTGGATAGCTTCCAGGGAATTCTGAACTGAACCTATTGTTTTCTCGTTTCCACTGAGAGCAAGTAGACACTGCCTGAGTCAGGGACTGCACTCACAACTATGACACCAAATTAACAAACCAATGCTTTTACTGGACAATCGATGAAGCAGACCTAGAGTTTTAAACCAATCTGCTGATTAGGCTGCCACTGTCACTGCCACTCCTGACTGCTGATTAGGCTGCCACTGTCTCTGCCACTCCTGCTGTCATGTTCCTACTGCTGCTGCCCATGTTTTTATTACTGCTACTGCGGTTTAAGTCTTGCAATCATTTTTCTTTATTTTATTAGCGGCTACTATATTGCATTTATTTCTATGATAAGCCTGCTAAGGAGGCCCCCATAGTCTAGCATATGCGCTGATGCATGCAGACAACTAACTCTGCAATGTTCTTCCCTGTTCAGTATTATTACTTCATTCCACAAGGGCTGATGTTCACCCTGTATACATGATCAGCCATGCCCGATTTCATCAACTCACCTCTGATAAAAAAGCAGCAAAGATAATAGTTAGAATATAAATAGGGTAAAAAATGACAATTCTTAGTTTCAGAAATTCAGACAAAATTGAAATCTTACTTATTATAAAACGCAGATTGTGTGTGTGTGTGTGTGTGTGTGTGTGTGTGTGTGTGTGTGTGTGTGTGTGTGTGTGTGTGTGTGTGTACGTTTATATATTGGATCGGATTTCCTACATTTTTCAACCGATTTCAACAAAACTTCACAGGACTGCGTAAAATTACCTTGTTGTGGTTCTGACAGCGCCAAAAATTGGAAAAACACAATTGTTTTTGCACAAAATCAATTTGAAAACACGATAAAACACGATTCTGTCGTCAGAATGAAAGGGGGATAACTCATATCGAGTTATACTTATTATAAAACCCAGGTTTTTTGTGTTTGTGTTTGTGTTTGTGTGTGTTCGTTTATATATTGGATCGGATTTCCTAAATTTTTCAACTGATTTCAACACAACTTCACTTTTTTTTGGCAGGTAGTGTTTCTTATTGTCTTGCACACTTTTTTCTTTATTTTTACATTCAGAATGCTTTAAAAATTCCATTTACAAGACAATTGTTTATGATAAAATTCTATTCAATCGGTAGACTCATAACAATTGAAAACAATATTTTTGTTTGAGTTTGGGTTTGACCAATTCGTAAAAAGAAAAAAAAACTCATTAAGACATGCGTGTCCGTCAACCTTAAACAATAATCTTTGTCAATTTTATTTTTCAGTCTTTATGATAGTCGATACTTGATCTATCTCTTACTGTTACATCCCCGGGCAACGCCGGGCTCTACTGTTAGTTAATAATAACCGGCGATGATTGAAATGTTCTATTAAAGAAAAAATCGCCTCTCGACTTGAATAGAACCTGTATCATTCTTTCTATCACGAACACCGCTCCTATAACCACAATGTTCTTTTATCAATTTGGACTTTTCTGGTCATCATCAGGTGTCCATTGTTTGGATGATGATGGCCAGAAAAAACTTGGTCGAAACTTTGTGCCTATAATAAGAATTATGAAGCTGAATTTCAATATTAGACTTAAAATTTCGAGTACAGTTTTTTTCTCAAGCGAGATTCCAAACATCGCTTGAGAAGGAAACTGTACTCTAAACGTATTGATAAACGTATTGATAAAGACCCATATTCATTCACTTGAAGCCTTTTTAATTATTGAACGGTTATAGGTGATAGTTTAGACATTTTCGAATAAATTGCGCGCCATGAATGACATCTATATGAGAGATTAGATCTGACGAGGCTATCATTCGACTTTTCAGCTCAATAAAGAAGGCTTAGAAAATATGACACTCTCAGCACGTTTTAATGGCAAAAAGACAGAATAAAGCGGATGGGGTCACCTACCTGACGATCTTATTCAGAGTAAATCCAAATACTGCTTTCATCCCAATTCCAGATAATAGGTTTTAGAGTTATTTCCTTAAAAAATATCAAGATTTTAATGCAAACTTGGCCGAAACTTTGTGTCCATAATAAAATCTGTAACAACCAAGATGTGTAGTTTGAAATAATTAAATTTCATCGACAATTTCTCATTTCAAAAATGCAAGATTATTTTCTTAGATTACGTTTTAATTAAGCATACAGTTGACGATTACGATGTACAGATACGCTAATCTGGTTTCAGTTATAAAGATTCAAAGACATTGCAAATCAACAGCGGCTTTCCAATTTCTGTGACCTTCAAACAGCCTGGACGAATTACTTCATGGAATTTTCCCCCTCTTTCTCAAAATCTGTTTAACCAAAGTCATAATTTCATTTTTGTTAAGAGTTTCCTCAACGTTTAGGGAGAGCTTTCAAAAGAAACGTCAATATCTGATTACCTTTTCGTGTCTATTTCCTTAACGAATTTTAGTAACGAGTCACGACTTACTTTGATATCGCTTGTCTTTTGTCAAAGAAGCAGCTTATATAACATGTTTTACGCTACACGATCAAGAGATTAAACTTACGACTGTCAGGTAATTCAATTCGCTTTCTCAACAATTTTATCCGCTAAGCCACCTGCCTTGCAATGACTGTCCAGTGGTAGAAACTGGGACCATTAGCGCTAATATCTTCTAGTAAAATTCACCCAACACAAGGCTCAAGAATACCTCAATGTAGGTAACTAACGTTAAAATGATAAATGAAGTGTTTGCTAATCAATCAAAGAGTACCGGGTGGAAGTGATGACTACGAGGATAAGGAGGATATATAACGATTGATTCATGCTTTAAAGAGGATCAGATTGTAGTCTTCAAAGAAACTGTCCCGCGGAATTTTGTCCCACAAAATCGTAATTCTTGGGAAAAAGCTATAGAACTTCTTTCGTAAATTTGGAAATACGGGAGAAACGAGATTGATTCGACTGTGAGGATGTGGCATTTGCTTGGCCTAGTTAAACTGCTAAAAGTAAAGAATGTCACTCATGTGAACATGGAAATAGCAATAGAGAAGCGATATCCTTCCGTTCGTAGGTAACAATCTGCGCAGTGGAGAATTGATTTTTTATGGATTATCAACCCTGCAGGTTATTTAAAGCTAGAAAACATTTTTAGATTGTAAGAATTTTTTTTTTTAATTTACTGATACAAGTTCTACTAGGCTTACGGCTATATCATATTGAAACATTGGTTCCCATACGATCACCGAAGGTAAGCAACTTCAAGCCTGGTTAGTACCTAGATGGGTGATCGCTTTAAAAAAAACAGGTGCTGTAAGCTTAGAAGTGTGGGTGGTGTAAGTGATAATGGCTCGGAATTAGAAATCGTAAAGCAGAGTTCTAATTCACGCCAGATTCGTTATATTCATTTACGTACAGGTGGGTACGTGGATACCTTGGCAAAGATATGAATCCACCTACCCTCCAGCTATGGGTTAATTAGTAAGACTTGTATCACTAAACAATTATTATCTCCCAACCCCGCAAAAAAAAAAAATTAGAAACTAAATATTTTTTGGCCTTAATTGAACTGCAAAGGGTTGATAAGCAGTAAAGAAATGAATCAATCAAGTTGTAGGGGTTAGCTAACACCTTACTGCATTTATATTAGCACAAATGTAACGAAATAAACAATGACAGAAGAATAACAAAGTTCAAGGTAAAATATGCATTAACAATATATATATATAGCATAATATATATATATATATATATATATATAGTATAGCTGGCCCCTCGTATTCGAGGATACCCGTCTACTAGGGTGGCTAGCCACATCTTATTGCAGACGCATGCTCAGGTGCATTTCTGTTTATTCAACATCCACAGAACACTGCAATTATGCTAAGCAGACCTTAGTTACAGTTTCTTGGAAAGAGCGGGTTATCTAGCGTGATCAACCATTTGAACAAAGCCAGCACTCTCAAGTCCTCGGCCACGCTGACTTGTGACTTCGTGCTAGCACAGCTATCGACGACTACCTACCCATTTTCACAGCTTATGTAAGTTCAGGCATTTGCCAAATGTGCCGCACGCTGGGATTGACCCCAGACTCCAGTCCGATAACATTTCCTGACAAATCAACCATGGTGAGATTCGAACCCGGGTCGCATGGTTAGAATGCAAACGTTCTAACCACACGGCCAATTATATATTTATATACAATAACAAGTATAATATTTGTTGAGTGTTGTATTTTAATATTTTTTTTGTGTGTTTGATAGTTTGAATGTCAATAATATTTTGGATCAAAAGTTTGTGTGTTATCATAATGTATCTTCAAATATAACAAAGTATATTTCAATATTTAGGTATTTATGGTGAATTTAAAACCGTTTATGTTTGCAAATAACTGTGTAAATTTCAAAAGACTTACTGAGAGTTTGAAAGGTTTATCTTTCTTTGATCAGATATTTTATATTAAGTTTGGTTGCATATTCAAGCTGTAAGTTTGTTTGAAATAATATATATAGCAGATTTTATGTTAAAAATAGGTTTTTAATGTGAAGTCTGAATATTGACGAGTGTGGACTGGCAACAGATAGAAAATTCCCCTCCTCACTGAAAAGGAATGATTTAAGTGTCGGTTAAATAGGAAAAGTTCGTCATAAGATCGGATCTCAATGACTTGCGGGACTGTCTTTTCAATCAATTTGGGCGTTGTCAAAAATACGTAATCTCTTATTTTTCACATTTAATAACCAATCAGAATTCGTCATTCCGCTTTCAGCCTATTTTAATGGGTTTTGAAAATAATTTAGAATTTTGAAGCCTACAAAGTCTTACTCTAGAGGGCGCAATGGGTAAATTGTACATTTGGAAACGGTACGCTGTACTGCTTGGTATTCGTACCGGAAGCTCCAATCTGGACATTTCAGTGTTTGGATGTCAATCTGACGACAGTGCGGAGGACTCGGAAAGAGTTGGATGAGTCTAATGGTGATTACGCAGATACGGCAGATTGGAAAACTCACTCAGATCGTTTCTGATAAGAAAAGAACTCCTAAATTGGAGGCCTACATAAAGTGCGTAAAGGAGGTACTGCTACCCTGGGTCAAGAGGGTCATTGTTAGAAGAGCCTCTGTCTGGCAACAGGACTCTGCAATATGCCACACAAACAGGAGAACACACTCACGGCTGTCAGATAATTTCTGGGGCCACATCACCCTTTACATTCGGCCATCTAACTCCCCAGACTGCACCCCGGAACATTAGAACGAAAGGCCAACAAAACTCTTTGTAACACCAAAGATCAACAGAAGGCAAGGGTTATGGCAACATTCGCCAACTTAAACAAGGATACTGTCCAAAAGAGTTCCAGGAAATTCCGAAGTCGTCTGGAAGCCTTGGATGAAACTAGTGGCGATGTTATCGAATAATGTACTTAGTAAAATGTTAGTAAGTTATTTTTGTGTAATCTTGGTAAATATATCTGTTAAAATGGAGATGTTTGTATTATTTTCGTTTTTGCATCATTTAGACGACAACTTATCCATCTCACCCTGTATGTTTACTTATATTCCCGACATGGTAGGAACAGTGTTAAAATGAATAAGACAGTTAAAAATTAAAGAGGAATAAAATGAAACTTAGCTCACGTACGTTCTACAAGAAATTAAAGGAAAAATAGGAAAAATCTTTTACAATATGGCATCAGGCACGCTTATTCATGAGATGAAAGAAAAAACAAATTTAATTTTCGCGCGAAATATATATAGAAAAATAATGCTCAAAAGGGGACGTAACCATTTCCAATTAAACAAAACTACTTCTTGTTATGGAGATCATGTTGGTTACAGGAAGCGTGTCGCGTTTCTTTCTTTCTTTCTTTCTTTCTTTCTTTCTTTCTTTCTTTCTTTCATTCTACTCCGAAAATTGGGAAAAAGCAAACGTTACTATTGTCTACAGATTAATTTTCAGACAATTATTTTTTTTTTTAGGATAACTGTCTTCTATTTTTTAAACATTGTATATAAATATGTTTTTTTCTTGTTAAATATTCATTGATTTTACTATGAACACTTAAGAAATAATAAAATTGATTTGTAACAAATATTACCGCTTTACCGATTTATAAAACAGAAGAATAAATATCTTATATGTAATATTATTTACGATATAACCACAGAATTTGTGAATTTAGATAGGTTCGCCAATCGCCCAGTTCAAACCCCTCTTTGGTCTTTTAAAAAGGAGTAGACGTTTATCCTTTGTATCCTGTTTAGGATTGAGCTTCCGGTTCCTTCTAAAGTCTTTCTCTTTCCCTCCCAGTAGCCCCTTGCTTTGGGTGAATTTATTAAACTTAAATTATGTCTGCGAGTGTGTGTGTGTATTCAGGGGCTTGCTCCAAACGTGGATTCTTCTTGTCACAGATACTGTTGGATGTATGAAAGAGACTGTGAGTTTTACAGCTAGGGTGGGTCCCTATTATGCTAATTTTTACGTGCGTTGCATCCCAGTTGAAGCTGGGCTGATCATATGATCCATCACTCGATGACCAGCTCATCTGTCACGTCAATATTTGTTATAGAGTAGTTTCCCAGTGGAGGCTTGTATTTCACTAAATCGGTCCTAAAATAGGTTCGACGTACAAAACGTTAGGAACTTGATATAATAGTTAATGACGCAGCAATCCATTTATGGTGGATGATACTTTAATATCCGACTAACAGTCGTCCGACATCAACTGACTGACCAACTCGCTGAGCGACTCACTACTTATTATAGGTGGGAGAGTCTATTAACTATAGAATAGATGTGTTCCACTATAACAATATTACAGCTGACTTTTCGAAAAGATACTTAGTGCAAAGTATTTTCAGGCATGATCTAGGGTGAGATATATAGAATTCTTCTATTTTATGTTCCGAGCCCCATCACGACGTTGGCGACCTTGGTTCTCCTCAACTTCCTGTCCCTTGCAGCTCTTCAAAAAGGTTGTCTTTCTGTTATTTCTCCTAAGCCATGTTCAGCCATCCATATACTAAAGCTCACTAAGTCTGTCTTTCTATCTGTTCCGTGAGTATTAGATTTGCCAAGCTCTCCTTCCTCATTGCGTGACCTTAACTGTTTCTTCCTGATGTTAAGTATTAATTTCGTTTTTGTTTCCATTTTCTCCTAAGTTTCGTCGTTGCTCACATGTTCGGTCCACGGTATCCTCAGTATCCTTCTGTAGAACCACATGTCTTTTGCTTCAAATCTCCACTTCATCTTTGAGAAGATTGTCCAGCACCCACTGCCACAAAGGAAGACAGATATCATATTGCAGTTCAATACTCTTTTCCTTGTTTCTAGTGAAATTTTCTGATTTCTTATTACTGCGCTTAGCTTTTGGAAGGCATCTTTGGCTATTTCAATACTCCTTCGGATTTCAGTGTCACTCTTTCCGTCCTCTGTTAAAACACTCCCCAGAAAATTATATTTCCGCACTTTTTTCTATTTTGGTATCTCCGATTTGCAATTTGTACTTTGGGCTCACCCCTTATGCTAACAACCATGCAGATGTAGAAATCGGTTAGTTTCCGAATCTTCTTCATTTCTTTTTTGATTTTTTATTGTATTGGTATTGTAATATCAGAAGTTGCAGTAGTAATAGTTGTTGCAGAAAAAGACTCATTTTACTTTTTGTTTTGTTTTTTAGATTATGCCCGTCTCCACAATCCACTTTCTTTTCCCTTATTTTCATCACAATATTTTAAAAAAAAAGCTTAGAGAAAGATGGGTGCAAATAACAGCTCAAGTTCTGTCAATATTTCACAACTAATGACTGTTAAAATATCTAAACAGGCTTTTTATTACCAATACAGGCGTTGGATTGTCATGTCTTCAGTGGTTGAGATTCCTGAACTATTTCTACGGCTTCGGCATTTAGATAGCCGGCATTACGTAGAATCTTGTGCTAAGATGTATTCTTATCGTCGCACACACACACACACACACACACACATATATATATATATATAGAGAGAGAGAGATATGCGTGCTTATGAGAGAGAGATTTTGTGTTGGTTTATTTCTGTTTTATTACGCTTTATTTCATTTAAAATCGTTTCCTTCCTATCTGTGTTTGGGGAAAAAATGTTTATCATATTTTATCCACCACCCCCCCCCACAGCAAAACAAAAACAAAACAAAAAAAAAAAAAAACAAGAAAGAAAAGAAAAAAATTCAAAAATAAATGTACAACTGAAAAGAATTCCACTGTGACGCCACGGTTTTCCTTAATTTGCATGAGAGATAAACATCTCCCATTGCCACCCGATCGACGCTCGATGACATA